TGGGACTACAACTCCCATGATCCCTAGCTAATGGGACCAGTGGTCAGGGATGATGGGAACTGTAGTCCCAAAACATCTGGAGGGCCAAGTTTGCCTATGCCTGCCTTACAGCTTCCCTTCTGACCAAGTCTAAGGCCTTACCTGATGCCTTATGTGCCAAAGTTGTGACACATTCTTTTTTGAATTTTTTTAAATTTTATTTTACAAATATAAATTTATAACAATACCAGATTTCTCTGAATCTCGAGACTCCCCCCCCATCCCCTCCATGGGTCCTATTGTCAACATTTTCAACTGCATATTATTTCATAATCTATATTTTGTATCTATCCATATTATCCATAATGTTTGTTGCATTACAAGTAAGATTAAAATCCTGCTAATGTTTTTATCTGCTTACTGTGGTCTCCTAAATAAATTAGAAATTTTTCCTGTTCTTCCTTGGAAGTTTTTGTCTTCTTGGTTTCTGAGCTTTCCGGTCAGTTTTGCCATTTCGGCGTAGTCTAACAGCTTGGGTTGCCATTCTTCTCTGGTGGGGACTCTTTCTTCTTTCCATCTCTTGGGCTAGTAGCATCCATGCTGCTGTTGTCACATACATAAAAAGTATTTTCTTAAGCTTCTGAGTTTACAAAAGCTATTTTAAACATATTTTTCAGTTCATTATGTATCATTTCCCAGAAAGCTTTTATTACCTTACATGACCACCACATATGACAAAAGGTACCTGAAAGTTGTGACAGTTTCTATGAGGGAGAACCCCCCCCCCCGCCCAGTAGTGATGTATGGAAGTGAGAGCTGGACCAAAAAGAAGGCTGATCACCAGAGAATTGATGCTTTTGAAGTACGGTGCTGGAGGAGACTCTTGAGAGTCCCATGGACTGCAAGAAGATCAAACGTATCCATTCTGAAGGAAATCAGCCCTGAGTGCTCACTGGAAGGACAGATCCTGAAGCTGAGGCTCCAATTCTTTGGCCATCTCATGAGAAGAGAAGACTCCCTGGAAAAGACCCTGAGGTTGGGAAAGATGGAGGGCACAAGGAGAAGGGGACGACAAAGGATGAGATGGTTGGACAGTGTTCTTGAAGCTACCAGCATGAGTTTGACCAAACTGCGGGAGGCAGTGGAAGACAGGAGTGCCTGGCATGCTCTGGTCCATGGGGTCACGAAGAGTCGGACAGGACTAAACAACAACAACCCATAACACCTTTAACTGACTACAGTTCCCAGAATCATTTGGCAGAAGTCATGGCTCCTTGATACTGCTTTAAATACATACATTTAAGATGAGCCCCTGCTCTAGCTTCTCCCCAAGTACAAAGGTGGCAAAGGTGGCACCCCACAACAAATGAACAACAACAACTTCACACTTATTCAGTGAGAAGAAAATTGTCAGGAGAGGCATGCCTAATTTAAATGAGCAGGGAGCCTAAGGGAAATGACAACATATGATAATTCCTGAGGAAATTAAGGCAGCAGGGGGAAAATCCCATGCACCCCCTTTCAGACGGCAGGTGTTTTTCTTGTGCTTTCCTCCGTTTAGTAATGGCAATTGGTGGGGAGGAATCGGACTTAATTGTACATCCAGAATGATTCACTCCTTTTGTTGTTCAGCCGTGCCCTGAGCTCACTGAATGAACTTTGGGTTTGTTTGTACTAAATCATTTCATTTGCTCAAGAAGAAATGTTTAAATTATCCTCAATGAAAACATTCATTTGACTAAACTGGTTAGCTGTAGGGAAATGCCACAGGGCCCAGCGGTGATGGCGCCTGTGTGCATTTTTCTCACTCTTGAAAAATGTGCAGACGAATAGCTAACTGAATCAAACGCCAGGCTCCGAGATAAAGGACTGGCAGTCTCCTCAGAGGACGTGGGTGTTGGAGCAGGATCACCGCGCCGCAATTCCCCCTCCTTTTAATTAGCAAATCTTGCCTGCGCCAGGGGTTTGGTTTCAGGGCCAATTTGGACATTCAGATGACTTACAGCAAATGTAAATTCAGGCCCACAATGGCCATTCTGCGACTTTATGCAAACCACATGGCAAATGCCACTGCAGTATTACAATGGCCAATGGTGTAATGTCTTTTATATATTTATTCACCAACACTACAAACACTCCCATTGTAAGTAGAAAAAGTTTTTTCCCCTCTCCCCAAATGTTAATTGTTGTTGTTGTTTAGTCATTTAGTCGTGTCCAAATCTTCGTGAGCCCATGGACTAGAGCACACCAGGCACTCCTGTCTTCCACTGCCTCCCGCAGTTTGGTCAAACTCATGCTGGTAGCTTTGAGAACACTGTCCAACCATCTCGTCCTCTGTCGTCCCCTTCTCCTTGTGCCCTCAATCATTCCCAACATCAGGGTCTTTTCCAGGGAATCTTCTCTTCTCATGAGGTGGCCAAGGTATTGGAGCCTCAGCTTCAGGATCTGTCCTTCCAGTGAGCACTCAGGGCTGATTTCCTTCAGAATGGATAGGTTTGATCTTCTTGCAGTCCATGGGACTCTCAAGAGTCTCCTCCAGCACCATAATTCAAAAGCATCAATTCTTCGGCGATCAACCTTCTTTATGGTCCAGCTCTCATGGATCACTGCCTTGCCGTGGCAAAGGGGCTTGAATAACTCAGAGAAGCTATGAGCTATGCCGTGCAGGGCAACCCAAGATGGACAGGTCATAGTGGAGAGTTTTGACCAAACGTGATCCACCTGGAGCAGGAACCGGCAAGCCACTCCAGTATCCCTGCCAAGAAAACTCCATGGACAAAGACAACAGGCATATAAAATGTTAATTACCAACATAAAATTCAACTTGCTGTACGGCTTGGACAATTCCAAAGGCAGTCAAATTTCTTACAGTCCTTCAGTTTGCCTCATAACATTTTCCTACCCCCTCTCCCTTGTTGGTTTGCTCATTTCTTTCCCTCTTGGGATCATCTACCTATCCATTACCCATAATTAGACTTTGTCTATACTTGCCTTAGGAGGTCTGCCCATAGTGTTCCCTGTGTTACTGGTGGGACATGTTGTTGGTGGAAAGGGGGGGGGAGATATAAAAAGGAGACTTCCTGGATCCCAAGATCCAAGTTTGGACAAGTACTCTTGGGTGGGAGAACCCCCAGCAGAGATTTAAAAACACAAAATATGCAGCTAAGTAAAGTGTGGAAATATAGGCTGTTAAACCTTTAAAATCATGCCCTTGTGTGTTCCAAAACTCCCCTCTTCCCCCAGCATAAGAAAAGACAACACATTCGACAAGTTAAAAATTGGTTTACTTACCAACTCTTCAAAGGTCAGGTTCATGTGCTTTTCTATATATCAGAAAAGTTGCACAGGCAGTAAAACTTGGCTTAGTTGCAAAGTAGTGAACGTTCTTAAATTATTGCTATAGGAGCTCAAGAGAGGCTTGTTAGAGCCATGTGACCAAGCTGGAGCAATCAGCTTAGCCTCTTCATATGCTGAGTTCATCAGGTACACTGGAGAAGAAGAAAGACTTGATTCCTTGGTTCCTCCCAATGTGAGCTAAGCCTGGCAGGGCAGCTTACTCTATGGTATTAACCCCTTCACGCATCAATTAGACTTAAGCATGTTAGCTAGCTGCTTATCCCACACATGTCTCCCTTGACTTTGAATGTTGAAGTCTGGACATTGGCTTAATTTCCAAAGAAGAGCGTCAGTCATATATATGATTTGAGCTTCTTAGCTGTGATTTTGCTGCTCTTACTTCAACATGCCCAGCCTATGTGGCCAATCCAGAGCTTTAGAACATGTCACAGCCTATCAGATGCTCCTCTCTGGTGGCTCACCAGACAGGGCACCTTCACGTAGACCTGAAGGTTCACAGTTCTAGCCATGCTGGTTTCCAATACTTGATTTAGGACTCTGCTGCCATTTTGATAAATAAAGCCGCAATAAAGCCATTTAACTCCCCACACCGAATGGCATAAGAAGGCACGACCCGGTATAATGCAGCAGAGAGTTTCAGAGCTGCTTTGAATGTAAAATGGGAACTGAATTAGCGGCTCTGCATTGAAAGAGACTGATGTAATAAGGGAAACGTAGGCCTTCATGGTTAATGAATTTACTGCGAAATATACGGCCAATTATACTTGGCTCCTCCAGCGAAAAGTCGCCGGTAACAAGCACTGTTTATTTAAAGCGATGCTCATGAAGGGCAGATGTGGGGAAAGGAACGGAAATGCGGAGCCATCTGTGTGGATGGCGTACATATTATAATCAAGTAGGAAGAGAGGGAGACAGCTTCGGCATTGATGATAAAGATAGATGGCGTGATACAAGAGCCAGTTCTAAGAAACAGCCTCATACAGGTATCTCTCTGGAGATTTCTGGCAGCTGCTTTGTACCTCAGGTTAGTTTTCCAACGAATGACACTAGAAAGAGGAGAAGTCATTAGGGATTTCAGTACTTCTCCATGATCAGGATCGCTATTGAAGCAGCATCGGAGATTTGCAATGAGACTTTTGTTTCATTTGGGATGGTGATATACTTCCTAGAAGCATTTCGGTGTCAGCTGTCGGTGCTGCATTCACAGAGAGCAACCGAGGTTGGCTTACTTCTTCAGAGATTTCACCCGCCCCTTTTGCGAAAGAGAGCAAAGCATGCTGGGAAATTATCCAGTAATTCTTTGAGAAGGTAGAGAGGGTGCTCCCAGTCAGTGCTCACTGTGAGACCACTGCTCTTCATGCCTGCAGCATATTGGTTTTTGGTTTTTTTGGTGTCCACATGACTTCGGCAGAATCAAAATCCCAAGTCCCATTTCCCCCCTGTTCAATTCAGGTTTACTCTTTCTGGCAGGTGTGGGGAAGCTTCTTCAATCTGAGGGCCACATTCCCTTGTGGTGAACCTTCCAGGGGCCACAATGCAGTGGTGGGCAGAGCCAGAGGCAAAAGTAAGCAACGGAATGGATGAGACACTTACCATTGTGGTGTTGTTGTTGTTTAGTCGTTTAGTCATGTCTGACTCTTCGTGACCCCATGGACCAGAGCACACCAGGCACTCCTGTCTTCCACTGCCTCCTGCAGTTTGGTCAAACTCATGCTGGTAGCTTTGAGAACACTATCCAACCATCTCGTCCTCTGTCGTCCCTTCTCCTTGTGCCCTCCATCTTTCCCAACATCAGGGTCTTTTCCAGGGAGTCTTCTCTTCTCATGAGGTGGCCAAAGTATTGGAGCCTCAGCTTCAGGATCTGTCCTTCCAGTGAGCACTCAGGGCTGATTTCCTTCAGAATGGATAGGTTTGATCTTCTTGCAGTCCATGGGACTCTCAAGAGTCTCCTACAGCAGCATAATTCAAAAGCATCAATTCTTTGGTGATCAGCCTTCTTTATGGTCCAGCTCTCACTTCCATACATCACTACTCAGAGAAGCTATGAACTAAGCCGTGCAGGGCACCCAAGATGGACAGGTCATAGTGGAGAGTTAAGACCAAACGTGATCCACCTGGAGGAGGAACCGGCAAGCCACTCCAGTATCCCTGCCAAGAAAACTCCATGGACAAAGACAACTTACCTTTGTACAGTTGGCTAAATCCCATTCATAAAACCATTCATAAATCAGAGAGGTTTTTATAGACTCAACTTTCCATCGCCCTCCATCCAGGCAGTGTTTTTTCCGGGGGGGGGGGGATAGGGGTACATATACCCTTAAACATTTTGTGAATCTAACCAGAGAAGAAACTAAAATTTTAAATTTTTTTAGTTTCTTCTCTAGCACTGTGAATCGTCAGTTCTGTTGCTACTCCCGATAGCGGCCTCATTTCCTCTCAGAGTGTTTCCCGAGTCTCAGACGGAAGCGAGCATTTAATGTGTGAAGCAGTGTGGAATGTGAATGTGTGGTGTTTTACTGATGAAAGTTTGGCCTCATTGAGGGGCAGTATTTCAGTATGAGTAATGCATGTTCTTTTTACTTTTGTCCATTTACTGTATTTATTTCCCCTGATTTGAACTATAAAATGGTGATTTTCTTGAGTCAAAATGAGAGTGCCCCTCAACATTTATTTATTTTTTTAGAAAAAAACACTGCATCCAGGCAAGCAAAAAAACAAAACAAAACATTATAACTGTTGAAGATATAAACCTTTGCAGGAGTGTAGAGCAGAGCTGGTGAAGGTGAGGGATGGGGAGATGTTGGATAGATTGGAGAAAGTCTAGAGGAGGAATTTCACTCCCTCAATGCAGCCTTCAACTGCTTGGGAAGGATCCAAAATGAGAGGCTAGAGGTCAGGGGCAACCCCGGAGTTTAGTTTCAGCAAAGCCTTCGGCATATCGATAGTCAAAGCTGGGGGGAAACATGGGGGAATTGTATGTTGAAAAAATTGTATATAAAAATAAAATAAAATAAAATAAAATTATTATAAATTAGTTTGGAGATGGTATTTAACACCAGTCAGATTAAATCAAATAAACAAGGAATATTTGGTGTTATGTTGAAGGGGATGCCAGGAAACAGGGAAGTACGTATGTTCACATGTGGTGGGGGTGTAAATATGTAATTTTTTTTTTTTTTTGCAAAGGGTGTTTAAGGAGATAACAATAACCACTGGGTTAAAGCTGACCGAAAGTCCAGAGGTAGCATTATTATCAATTTACGATGGGGTGGAAGGTTCACAGGCTACGAAGGACTTGCTCACAAATTTACTGACAGCTGCGTGAATTATTATAGCCAAGAAGTGGAAGGGGCAAGCAGGATATAAAATGGAAGAATGGTATAAAGAGGTTCAGGATATAGCTATTAATGATAAATTAACATGTGCCATTAAGGTAAGGTGAAGAATATGCAGGAGAAATGATTTTGAGGGTGTTTGTAGAATTTGTACTGTTAAAACAGAAAGGAGTCAAACCATCGCAAGAGGTGTTGAAATTTTGGGAGGTTGGATAGTTACAATGGAATGGTCTTGCTGTTGGGGTGCACATATTTATTCTTATTTATGTATGATTATTACTTTGTCAAAAGGGGGGAGAAAGAAAGAAAGAAAGAAAGAAAGAAAGAAAGAAAGAAAGAAAGAAAGAAAACCTTCGTTGAGTTAAGACTTACCAGGGATGTTGCTGTCTTCTTGTTTTATCCACTAATAAAAAGTTAATTGCCTTCCATGCCTTCTCCGTGTGTGCCTGCCCTGTGGCTGACCTGGCTCATTGATGGCTCCATGACAGCTTCTTACCTGATAACTTTACCTGGATATGCAATGCCTGAAAAGGGCGTAAGTATTCCTGCTTCTGAACTTGCTGAGAGGGAATCTTCCTAAGCTTTACATATTCAGAAGGCTTAGGAGTCCCCTTCAAGAGGAGCTGAGCATATACAGGCCTTTGCTGACTTGATTGACTACGAACAGGCAGCACAGGTAATAAAGCTTCTTGGATAATTAGGAAGGCATTAGATAGAGTTGAGCAGTCCCTCTGCGCTCATATCCTGAATTATGAAAATGCTTTTCATGATGAATTGGTATGAATATACTCTGGGCTGGGAAGCCAAGGACCTGTTAATGTGTGTCAAATGGCAAACTGCCTTCCGGTCTGCAGGAACGTTCCAAGGCATGTCAAAAACAGGAAGGACATCATAATTCAAAGTAACTTGAGCAAGATTAGCTTACAATACCCACGATTGGAGAAATCTCCCTACGACCGAAGTAGCTGAATGACAAACGAGGCTTAACCTCAGCTAATATTTTCTGTAGTAGCATCCTGCCTTGGCCAGAGATCACTCTGTAGATTAACACAACATTTTAAATTATTTCCGTCCCAAGGTGACATAATGAACTTGGAACTTGATAGATGCAGAAGCTGCTTCGTGGCTGGAATACTCACAAAACGTATCTTATCCACCCAAGTTGTGGTGGTTGCTACGAGGTAGACGAAAACCTGCAAGCCGTCCAATTGGCTTGCAGGAGAAAATGCTCCCCTGGCCCCGAATATGGTGACCAAATAAACCATAGTCAATGTGCCCACTTCCACCCCACCCGGGCAGGCCCCTAAAGACTGGGAGGGAGGGGGAAATCCCACAATGATTGGCCAAGAGGGCGGGTGGTACCTAGCCACCCCCTTAAATAGGTCAGGGTGGGCTGGTTACAGCCCCCAAGCCCCTGCCACCAATTGGCTAAGTGGGCATTGCTTGCCCTTACCTGAAGTCCCAGTGCGACTGGAGGTGGGCAGCGACAAGCGATCATCACTTCTCCGACCTGTGCTGGAAGATGGCGGCCTCCTTGGTCCTACCACAGCCGCTCCATGCAGCAAAGGCCGCCCACCCAGAGCCCCAGGTGAGTGCATACTGACTCTCTGGACTCAGCTACATTAGTAAAGAAACAGTGATTTGAATGCGCAATAAACATGCAACACCAGATGGCGCCAGAGAGTAGGAAATTTTAAAACACGGTTTTCCATAGAGATTTTTTTCTTTTGCTAAAAGGATCTGATTTCTGACTTATTTATAGCGTGTGTGTGTGTGTGTTTTGCTGTGTCTAGGTCCATCCTCTTTCTCGCTGAGCAGAGCATCAATTAACAAGATCCCCCAACGCTGCAATCTGATTTGTAGGACTCTATACTAATATTCACCTGTGCTGATAAAAGTTGCCATTTGCATACTTTTTGTCACAATTAAAGCAATAAGTGCCACTGCTTGTGCCTCAGGAAGCATCTCTTAACTTTTGGCCACACAAGCAATTGCTCACCAGTGATTGTACTCCTTATCAGCAAAACAAAGGAGATGATGCTGGACTTTCGGAGGAAGAGAGGAGAACTAGCCCTGCTGTACATCGGGGAGGGCTGTGTGGAGACAGTCTCTTCCTTTAAATTCCTAGGAGTTTATCTCAGTGAAGACCTTACTTGGAAAATAAATACAACCCAGGTGGTTAAGAAAGCCCAACAGAGACTCCTTCTCCTCAGAGTATCGTGGAAGAACGATGTCAATCAACATTTGATGATCTCCTTCTACCGGTCAACAATAGAAAGTGTCCTTTCATACTGCATCACGGTGTGGGACGCTGGTTTGACATCATCTGATAGGAAGTGCCTACAGAGGGTGGTAAATTCAGCACAAGTTATTATGGGCTGTCCCTTGAATCCGCTGGATGAAATAGCGGAAGAACGTTGCCTCAGGAGAGTGAGGCAAATTCTCAGGGATGATTCACACCCTGGCTGGCACTTTCTTGATCTCCTGCCCTCAGGCAGAGGATATAGAAGCATGATTAGTCGCACCAACAGGGTAAAGAACAGCTTCTATCCGTGGGCTTTTAGGCTGCTGAATGAAAAGATAACAACAGGGCAACTGACTTTCAGGTTTTGGTGGGTGTGCGTCAGTAAACGAGGGGAATTAAGACTAAGAGAGCTGAGTGGGGGATGCTTGTGTAATCTCACTGTATACAAGTTGTACAATAAAGTATTTTAATTCAATTTATTTCAATTAAGCCCCACCACAAAGTTCCTTTGCATCCATGTTGTAGTCAGCAGATATGAGTAATAAGAGCTGTGGTGTTGCTTAGAAAAAATAATAATAAAAAGGTGATGGAGTGGTGATGGGGAAACAATGCCTGTTTTTTTGCTCTTGTATTTCCGAACTCATATCGTTGTTTCGCTCTCATGTTGCCGAGCCTCAGTCTGTGAGCAGCTGCTACCCAGTCTGGTGTGCCAGCTGCTGGTGAGTCTAGTCAGATGCTAGTGGCTGGAGAGTGCCCAGCCAGCCAGTAGATGCCGCTCATTACTGGCTTCCTGTTCTGTGAGGTGGTTGATGAAAGCAACCCACCAGGGGTTTGCCATGGCACGGCTGCCAGCCTGGTCTCGGAGCATCTGGCAAGCCAATTGCTTCCCCTGGTGGGAATCTGAACAATGTGGCAGGGATTGCCAGGGGTGGCCTTGTTCTGGCAACATGGTAGGGGCTCCTTTGGCACGGCAGCACGGGCCTGAGAAGGTGGCAGCAGGTGGGTGTATACTCGTCCCACTGTTCTTCCCAATCCACCACCTGAGGGAAGTTGTTGAAGAAGCTATTGAAGAAGTCAAGTCAAGGCATTGGCTGGTCACACTGACTGGGCTTTGCATCCTGTTGATGAGGTACCTCTTGGGTGGGCACTGCAGCCACTCTAGGAGAATGAGGGAGGTGTTCATGGTGAGTTCCAGCACCCCTTCTTCTAGAAGAATAGCACTGTGTCAGGGACTGTGCTGAGGAGGGCTGCACCGAGGAGGAATGGTGGGAGCAACCCCCTGATCCTGAATCTTCCC